CGATGTTTGCATTGTTTGATTGTTGGATCGTGACAGGACCCCATAAATGGTTCCTGTCTCGCAGGTTTCTTTCTTTCTTTCTTCTTCTTTCTCGGTACTTAGTATTCTCGTTGAAATGCACTCTTTTGTTTAAAGAACTGGCTGGTAACATCTATCAGAATCAGTGGAGTGGTCTAACTGGAAGGCATTAGGCAAGAATCTCTGGAGGAGAAGCTGACTCGCAGAGGGTGGGTCAGGTTTCGGCCTGATAGGGGGTATCGGTAACTATAGTTAGTTAACGAAGATAATCTACCTAAAATCAGATAGTTTTAAAAGAGGTTAGATAAGGTGTTAATCCTATCTTCTTTTAGTGAAACACTCTGATTTATATGGTTAAAAAACCACACCGAGTATCTACACTATAGTGCGACGTAGTACACTAAAAGTGGTTAAACTAGGGGTTCGAGGGTTACGTTACACAATAACCTCGAAAGTAACGGCGCTTATAACCTAAGAGATATAGCAATCAATCTATAAATGAAGCTATAGATTTAAATGGAAATCTCTGGATGCGTGGTGAAAGAGAGAAGCTATCTATAGGCACTAGCTAGACTAAAGTACTAGGAGCAAACATGGAAGTCATGTGACTTCTAACATAAGGGTTAATAGGTTGCAAGGTAAATATCTGCATGTACAAAGTCAGGACGTTGCTGTAAGCTCTATCCAAGGCAAGTAGTCTCTGGTAAGATTAAATTGACATGACAAGCATGGTATTGGATGAATTAGTAGGAAGGATTCCAGGAATTTTGCGCCAGCCGGGATAGGTACACCTTGGCATTCTCGTATACCAGGAAGGTCACCCATGTGCTTGGAAGTACCCGGAACAGATTTGGACCAAGACCCTTATAGAAACCTGCGATGCCTTCTTGGGCCCATATCTGGGAAAAGACATCGATGGCCCCCCGGTAGATGAGATGGGCCTCGTAAGTTTGCAACCGGGACCTAACTACTTGGTAAGGATACGTCACACTGCCAGCGAATACTTTTGATAGACCGGAAATGGCAAAGAAATCAAAATTACCCAGCACCCGTTTGGTGCCCAAATGGTCGCTCCCAATTGGGCTTATGGCACTCATCGACCGCAACCTGAAGACTTTCAACTGCTCATACGCCATAAACTGAAGGGCACCATGACTGACGCCAAATAGGGCCGGTATGAGACCTCGATAGAAGCCGGGTATTCCATCCACCTGGTAAATTTCTTTTGCCCCAGATACAAACGAAGAATACGCTCCCGGAGCATGGGAACCTGTTGACAACATGCGAGTTTTGATCACCCAGATTGGATTGGTGAGGACTGAGGTAATAACACCTGTGGAAATTGAGAGGTCAATCGAAGAACAGAGGAACGAGGATGAGTTGGACATGATATGTGTATACCTGCACTGCCAGATGCGAGAAGATAATCAGACGATGTGAGAATATCCTCACTCTCCTCGCGATAGACTCGCATAGTATCTTTCAAGCTGCTATAGCATAAAAAGTACAAACCCCAACTTGTGGAATTTCCAATAATATTGGGGGTAAGTCCCCGGTAAAAAGCGACACAGCCACCCTCATAATGGAAGATATTTCGAATGATTCGCAGTGAACTCCCAAACCGGGAAGATGATCGATCGACTACATTTACCAAAGCAGGATTAGTTACTCCATGCCCCAGATGGATACAAATTATTATTGACGCTTGCCTTGTAGCCTCGTTTTGACCATGTCAAGGGGATGTAGCGACAGAGTTGACACAATCCCCGCTGTGAATCCTGCTACGGTCTCCACAAAGGATGACGAGAAGCCATCTTGACCAGTCATGAACCTGAAGACGAAGACAGGAAATTTAAACACCCAGAGACCGAGGTAGAGAAAGAGAATTAGAATGTATGGGGAATGATACCAGAGAAGAGGGAGATGGAGAGAAGACGAGACGGAGAATATGCCTAGAACATCGGGTCATGTGACCGTCAAGTTACCCCGTACATTCTAGCTCGGGCTTATAGTCTGGCATGTGCTCGACACACATTAACATCTGTCCTTTCTAAACAAGTGTGTATTTATGCGAAGCTCTGTGTCTGCTCCGAATTATCCTAGTATTACAGCAATTTTATGCCAAAGCGGATAAATGTTTGGGCAAAAACTTAAAAATACAAAATCATCCAGCTTCCACAAGCTTCAAAAACTGATATCCAGATATTCAAGCCCATCATCCCTCATAGAAGGAATAGCCAGAAGGTCGTTCAAAGATACTGCGCCATATCCATCCCATCCACATATCCTGTCTCATTCCTCCAGCAAACGAGTAGTTGCGCATAGTCTACGCAAGAGGCGAGAACAATCTAGGCACCAAGTTAGTCATAACAGCTGGAACGTAAGGAGTTTGGAGCGTACCTGAACAAAGTCGGCTTGGGCTCACTATAGGTGTAGCCTGGTTTTTTTGTTAACTTTTTGTATTGAAAACGCCAAAGAGTTTTGCATGTACATACCCAGGTAGACGATCAGAGGCAAGTACCCGCTAGATGGTTATCGCCGGTCAGCTCGGAGGATGGCTTGAAAGGTGCTATGAGGCTCACTAGTGAATCGCAACCCGAGAAATGTCAATGACCTTTGAGATGCGCTCCTAAATAGATTCAAAAGAGAGAATTAAAAACCCAGTCTCAAGGAGGATCGCGATTGCGACTAACCTTAGTCTCCTCGGAGAATTGAACCATTGTGAATTTATGAAAGTGAATTTGAGGAGGGCTTCAAGGAGATCAAGGAGAATAGATTGAAATTGGTTTGAAGTTGACCCAAGTGAACAAGTGGGAGGTGTGGTTGATGGATGAAGCGGCAACAAGGAGGACTTGCGGAATCAAAAGTTTTCGGAAAAGGTCACTGATCTTCCCTCAGCTCCCTGGCTTTCCTTCACTTCAACACTTTCACACCTCATCACCTCTCCATTTCTCCTTAACTTATTCTAAAATTGTTGTTCTACAGTTTTAAGATAAGGAATTCCACAGACTGTTGACTTAACTGGGATTTTCTCCGTCCTCTTCTTTCAGGGAGAGCTTTTTTCCTCCCCTCTCCCCAACTATTCCACTGGCGCAATGTCTAACGCAAGGCACTGGTAAGGCCCCCTTTTCTCATCACAGGATACTTTGATACTAAATCAACCCAGGGAACAAGACAAAGAGGCAACCGTGTACATCGGAAACCTTGATGAACGGGTCTCGGACAGCCTAGTATGGGAATTGATGCTGCAGGCTGGGCGCATCGTCAATGTCCATCTGCCTAAAGACCGGGTCACGCAGTTACACCAGGGGTATGGATTTGTCGAGTTCATCAGCGAGGAAGATGCCGAATATGCATCAAAGATCATGAATGGAATCCGGCTCCATGGCAAGCCTATTCGTGTTAACAAGGCATCAGCTGATAAACAAAAGGCCGTGGAAATTGGTGCAGAGCTGTTTGTGGGTAATCTCGATCCTATGGTTGCCGAGCAGGTTCTGTTTGATACGTTCAGCCGATTTGGCAATCTTGTCAATCCGCCTAAAGTGAGACCCCTCCCCTACCCCAGTGCTAACGAGATGGACACTGTTAACAGCTTATTTCGTTACTATCATCGCAGATTGCCCGCGATGACAACAATCTCTCTAAAGGATATGGATTTGTTTCTTTTGCTGATTTCGAATCCTCGGATGCAGCCATCACGAACATGAATGGTCAATACCTGATGAACAAACAGGTTTCAGTACAGTATGCATACAAGAAGGATGGGAAAGGCGAGAGACATGGGGATGAAGCGGAGCGAATGTTGGCAGCCCAGGCTCGCAAGCATAATGTACAGCCCCCTACTCAGCAGCCTTCGCAGTTCCCTGGCGCTGGTCCGGGTATATCAGCAACACCTGTAATGTTGAACGGCGACAGCTCTCGACCCTTGAGCACAGCCCCGTCACAAACACCTGATCTAAGCATGAATAGGAGTGTGCCACCAGCTATGTCCTACCAGAGCGCACCCCCTCCAATGCCCTACCAAACCGTTCCCCTTCCAAACCGACACGTTCCACCCCCCGTCGCTTCACTCCATACCCCACCTCCTGGGCTTCCGGCCCGGCCTCCGCCTTCTCAAGCTGGCTATGGCGGCCCACAGTCCTTTTTACCACCTGGATTCAATGGTGCAGGCCAGCCACCCTTCGTCCCACAGGCTGCAGCTCCCCCTGGGTTTGGGCCGCCTGGATTTGGCCTTCCAACTGGGGCCCCTTCATTGCCACCAGGATTCCAACAGCCCGGATACGGGGGCAGTCGGTGATTCCCAGTGGCTTTCAGTCTTGAAAGCCTCTTTCGTCCCCGAAGCTATGTCCTTGTCACTAAGGGAGGTGTGGAATTTTTTTTTGACATGATTTGACGACTCAAAGACCAAACAGCTGGTCTATGTGTTTGATGTTCTCATTTTGCTTGGCTACTTTGAACAAATTAACGGGGGGCTGGATCAAGCTGTGCCTTGGCGCCGACTGGCTGGTGGCAGCGCTGGATGGTCATATGTAATAACAAGTGTCTATTGGACACGGAAAAAACAGACAGACTTGTTGTATCTTTGATACCACGTCAACTTAATAGGTTTCAATTGCCAAGGATCATTCACAGACAAGACATCCACCGGCCGAAGTGGTTAACTCTAGTACCACAAGTGCCCCAGTAGCACAGATGAGATTTTACTAGGTAAACACGTGATCTTTAGCAATATTTCCCCTCTGACAGTGACCAAGGAAACACTTTACGACTGGTGACGTGGTTGTAGGTTAATCACGAAAAAGAGATAAATTTGGGGTCCCTTGGCTGGCCGTCAGGTCCGATGTTATTGTTTGCAAATCGTTGCTCAGTGTATATCCGCCGTGCTTCATCAAAATTGACCTTTTGACTCTTCATAATTTTGATCACTTGGGCCTTTGCTTCTTGATCCAAGCCAGCCCTTGAATCCCCGTCTGCAAGGTTGGCAGTAATGTCGAATTGTGATGAGCTCAGACCGGCCTCGAGATCAGCGGTAAAACTAGAGGGAAGGCGGTGATAGAGATAACCAGGCACTTGGATTAATGGCATCCATCGTGACCGAGTGAGGTATAACGCTTTAGTGCAATTAGAACCAAATAAATAATGAATGGTTGCTTTGCTTCCTTTGGATTTGGAAGGAGTTTTGACCTACCTGTCCCACCGATAATAACTGTAAAGAGTAGGAAATAAAAGAGAATGTAAGTCATGATGATGAGTGATACCGGCAAAGATTCCGGCGTGTAGTAGTAACGTAGTATAGACCTTCTGTGATGTTGCTGTATAAGATGAAATTGGCGCCCTTCAGAGAACTTCACCAAAGAAGAACTGTAGATGACGTGTCTCACCAGGCAATAAGCCGTTGATGAAGAAGGCATAGAATGATTAGAGTGGTTATGAAGGAGAGTTTTGGAGGGTAACGTCAGCATCGCGTTGATACTATTGGCTGCCTGGAGGTCGCCGGAAGCTGTTAATTACTGCTTTAGTAAACAGGCATCCAGGCATCCAGGTGTTTGGAAATCAAGGCACCAAGGCAACAAGGCTATTCCTAAAGTAGCCGCCTTAGCGAGACCCCGTCAAATCCGAGGTCTTGGCATTTGAGACACACACAATTTGATCGATGTGTAGACGGTTTTGATAGCGATTTCGATCTTTCAATTCTCTAGTTCAACGTCCCCTCTCATCATAATGGCCTCAAACATCTCCAACGATCTGGTCTGGCAGATCACCCGTACGTCCGACCCTCAACATTTTTCCTTTTCGAATTTTTACGTCAACGCTTTTGGAAACCGAACTTTCGCTCATCAATCATTGGAATAGGCAACCAGAACTCCTTCCTGGTTAACCGCAACTCCGGTGGTGGCTTCCAGTTCTCCCGGGACCCCCTTAACCTGCTGAACAAGCACTCCTACAAGGTACGGGCCTCGGGAATTAGACGGAATGGAGGAAACTCCCCGGGAATGCATGGCTAACGACGGTCTCTTTTGGCGCAATATAGTATGCCGGTTATGCCAACAACAAGGTAAATATGCTCTACACTGCTGACGATTTCCTCTCTCTTTCTTTTTTTTTCTAATAAGAGATGATCTGGCGCTAATCATTTTACCTTCAGGCTGTCGGTGTCCAGGCTACTGAGAACGGTGTCGCCGTGATCACCAAGAAGCCTAGCAACCCCCAGCAGCCCGCTCAGAACTTGGTCACTGTGACTTATGGTCCTAGCACTTCCACCCGCAAGTAAGTGGATCCCGACTGCTCATCATTTTCTTTTCAAGGGATGTGGTTTATGTTGCTTCCTCGACCTGGTGCTGACCATCATCTGCTTTCCAGGATCTACAAGGGTGTTGCCGATAAGACCGCTAAGAACAGCTACCGTGCTGATCTCCGCGAGGAGGCCGTCGCCCGTGTGAGCGCTGTCCGCCGCTCGCAGCTCCCCAAGAAGGATGCTCCTGCTCAGAAGCTCCGGGGTTCCAAGGCCCGCAAGGATGAAGAGTCTGAGTAAATTTGTCTTGAGACGAGGCTGAATTGTGGACAATGAAGGCTCGGGGATTTCAGGAGGAGACTGATAGGCGTATGTAAAACGCTATGCTGGACTTGGAAACCATGTAATCTCGCAGTCTTGCCCCGAGGGCAGGAAAAAAAAAAAGTGTCCTGTTTTGAGACCTTTTTAAATCAAGAAGCAACGGATTCCTCCCCCTCCCAAAACAAGAATAATGCCTACTACTAACCGGAACGGAAAAATAACTCAGCCCAAGGTATAACCAACTTCATTGACAACCAACTGGTTGGCCCGAGCCACAACGTCCAGTTATAAATGAGTACACAGTCCGCCTTTTCCCGATATGACAACCCGGCAGCCCGGGGAAGTGTGGAACAATCCATATTAAGGGACGAGAATTGCCGGGAAAGTCTGGAGAAAGGTCAAGAGCTTAATCTGGTCTTCGGTGAAAAAAGTATTTTGGTGAGATGAGAGAGCATAGTATGTAAGGATTCCATTCAAAGATACAAGAAAAGTAAAAGAGAGTGAACATGTAGCAAGACATGGCAAAATAAAACAAAAACAAAGGTGACAAAAGGTGAAGAAATGTCAACATTGTGCAAAGTAAACACTCCGTGGGTACTCCGTACAACATACCTAGATATTCCGGGGTTGCCCCTCTCAGCACCTGCCCCTCATATAAATCGGTCAGTCCCCTCTCTGAGCTTCTCTCCTCGTATTTCTCCCCCTCTCCACTCTCTACACATACCCACATAATAATTCATCATGGTCAAGGCTGGTATGTTGTTCGGCTGTTTTATCTATAATTTGCTGATTTGTTATCAGTTGTTCTCGGAGCTGCTGGTGGCATTGGCCAGGTATTACCCCCCCACCCCCACTCCTCCTATTTAGGTCTATAAGCCTCAGCTAATCGATCCTCTAGCCTCTCTCCCTCTTGCTGAAGGCATCCCCTCTTGTTGATGACCTTGCTCTCTATGATGTTGTCAACACCCCCGGTGTGGCTGCAGATCTCTCTCATATCTCCTCGGTCGCCGTACGTATACTCCGAAGTATCGCGAATTAGCTTGCTAATAAATAGACCAGAAAATCACTGGTTACCTCCCCAAAGATGATGGATTGAAGCTCGCTCTGACCGGTGCTGATGTGGTTGTTATCCCCGCCGGCATTCCCCGTTAGTAGATCCGCAGATGTGGATGTGGTGATTTGCTAACGTCTGTGGTAACATTTAGGCAAGCCCGGTATGACCCGTGACGACCTTTTCAAGGTCAATGCCGGAATCGTGAAGGGTCTTGTTGAAAGCATCGCCGAGTTTGCCCCCAAGGCTTTCATCCTCGTTATCTCCAACCCTGTAAACTCCACCGTCCCCATCGCCGCCGAGGTCCTCAAGGCTGCCGGTGTCTTCGATCCTAAGCGTCTGTTCGGTGTGACCACCCTGGATGTTGTTCGTGCCGAGACCTTCACCCAGGAGTTTTCCGGCGTGAAGAACGCCGCTGATGCCACCGTTCCCGTTATTGGTGGCCACTCTGGCGAGACCATTGTTCCTCTATTTAGCAAGGTATCCCCGAGCTTCCAGATTCCTGCTGACCGCTACGATGCTCTTGTCAACCGTATGTGAACACTCCTCTCTGTGGAAGGCATTAACTGAAATTTCACAGGTGTCCAATTTGGAGGTGATGAGGTCGTCAAGGCCAAGGACGGCGCTGGTTCCGCTACTCTATCTATGGCCTTCGCCGGTTTCAGGTACGTTTCACCCGCTAACCCGGAGCTACTACGGTGATTGACAAATACCAGATTTGCCGAGGCTGTCCTCAAGGCTTCCAAGGGCGAGAAGGGCATTGTTGAGCCTACTTTCGTCTACCTGCCCGGTGTTGCTGGCGGAGATGAGATTGTCAAGGCCACCGGTCTTGACTTCTTCTCCACTCCCGTGGAACTTGGGGTAAGCCTTCAATTTTCTAGAGTTTTAAGATTACTAACTGACATACTCGATTCAGCCCAACGGTGCCGAGAAGGCTATCAACATCCTTGACGGTGTGACCGAGCAGGAGAAGAAGCTCCTTGAGGCTTGCATCAAGGGACTTCAGGGCAACATTGAGAAGGGCGTTGAGTTCGCCAAGAACTCTGCACCAAAGTAAGGCTTCCTCCCCCCTGTCTGTTGACCCACTGTGAATATCGGATGGGTCTTTTTGTGCCGGTAGATGTCTCGCTGGTTTCTCCATGACTGCGATGATACTGGAAAATGGCAGAGCGTTGCTAATCAATCTTCTCCTGGAAAGATAGGCTTTAAGTGCGAGACCACGAGTTTATGAACATTGAGCAAACACGAATAGTGTACGGTCCGAAATCAGAGGGGTAGGCTTGGCACACAATTACAGTAAACCAACCTGCAAGAAGTATAGGTTTCACCATTAATATTTGCGCGTTTTCAATATCCTCTCATGTAGCCAAAAGACTTTGGAATGATCAGATAATCCATGTAGTAAACTGAAGGAACCACAACGCCTTGGCAAGAGGGAGCTGTCGTAAGTCATAGAATGGGCGTGAAAATTGATGGAGCTAGAAGTTAGCCCAGGCCTAGGCGCAACCATTTTCATGTTCAAGGCCGAGGCTGGAGAGTTTTGATCTGAAAAGTTGCACCTGGTAGATCTGAGGTCTCCGCCTGCACAGTGGTGTTGATCCCCAAATTCGCTAACGCACCCCGGATGATACCACAAGGAAACCAGAGGTACTAGGTCAATCTATAAGCCTATGTATTTCATTAATTAGCCCAAGGAGATGATGCTTACTGCCTGCGCCATGGATATTGCTTCACTCCGCACCGCCATGCTCATCCTGCCAAATGGCCGGAACGCGCTATCAGTCAAAACATAGACTCCCTATTTGTTTTCGGTATTAGTTTCATAATTGTCTCTGTGCAAGTGCAGTTCCACTACGTATTACACATACCCGATGGTTCGTTTTCAAATTATCCACCTGTTTTTTGAATAGAACCGTCCACAGATCCTTGCAAAGAAACTTGATCACATCGAGATTATCGGTAAATCGAGGACGGTCTCGGGCGAAGCTATAGAGATTGGTACAGGTCAGCGCGCTATAGGACTGCAAAAGGAGATGTTCATGCTTACCGTTCTGCAAGGCCTTGCCCGACACGATAACCCAGAGACTCCAGACGAAAGAAGGTTGTCTCTCTAACCTCTTCGTCTTCAATTTCCTTTCCCTCGGACGCAAGTTCCTTTGCCATACGCTCGGCCATTGGCACCAATTCTATGAGTAAGAAGTCGAAGCACGAGGAGCTGAAGACGCGAGCATTTGGATCGGCATTTAACGGGGAAATTGAATCAAATGACATTGCGAAGAGTCAAAGGTGACCAAGTTCACTTGAATGAACGAGAGGTTCGGGTAATGAGGGCGTGTTGGTGGGAGGGACTGGAAAATGGGGGAGTTGGGGGAGTTGGGAGAAGTTGGGGGACCCAGGCCGGAATCCACCTAATGTTGGCCTGATCTATATAAGGAAAAGGTAAATCCTCTATGTCGTTTGTTGTATGAGAAATAAGTGTAATCGTCATTATATTTCCAGGCTAGTTGACTGGTCAAAAATAGAATTGTACAATCCCTAGGCTCCTAGATACATAGCCACTTCTGATATCTTGAAGACCCCCCTTACCACCTGAAACTCCATGAAAAATATGCATCAGAAAGAGAGACAACCAGTATTCTATTTCAGTCATCAGCTTGACAAAGCTTGACTAGAAAAAATATCTAAATTCACGGTGGGAATGATCCGCCATTCAGAGGGCTGTTGGCAGGCGGGACATGGTAATCCTGACGAGAGAAAGCTCGGGATGGCAGACTTGAAGCTGGCCGTTTAGGAGGTGGAACAGGAGACTCTTCATCTTCATCGCCGCTTTCAGTCAAGTCGATGACCTGAGCAATAGGTCGCTTTTTGCTGGACATGCGCATCGCAGAGGACGGGGTTGATGTCTCCCGCGATTGTGACTGCGACTGCGCAGGTGTTCGCTCCAAGACGACGTTAGGGGGCCCCGGTTCCTGTTTTACAACGGGCATACCTGGTTCGCTGATCTCGATCAAGTCGTCGTCATCGTCATCGGAGGCAGGAGTCATCCCTCCCAATTTTGTCACGTCGGAACCAGTAGGGCTTGACCATACACCGTCGGGTTCAACGGTGACTTGATCAATATCTGGTGATGTTGATTGAAGGATGTCATCAACGTACCTGAACGACCAGTCAGGAAAAGAGATACATAGATCATGGGAGGGGGGGGGGGGGGGACTTACTGGTCAACTTGCAAAGACTCAAAGCTAGTCGACTTGGAACACACGGGGCATGTCCAAGTTGGAGCTTGTTTCTGCAATTCAAGGAATGAAGATGCATCAAAGCATTGATTATGGGTGCAAACGATAGAGCGACAAGGCACCTGAATACGTAGGGTAGATAGAGGGCATTTGAGTGACATAACACTTGATGTCGCGACAATGTCCGAGTCACTTGCGCGATTTTGCACTTAAGTTCTAAATTAACAAAAAATGACCAAAGGGAACTGGAGGGGTTCTTACTTTCGCGCAAGACTTGCTCCTTAGAGATGAGTTTTCGTGTCTTCAGTTGCGAGACAAGATCATCAGTCGGATGCTGCTTCACAAGGTTGGCAAGCGCGAAGAATTTCTGTGCAAGAAGGAGTTAGTCAATCGAACCAACAGATATTCTGCGAAGGAGAAATAACTGAGCTCAACCTTTTGTGTCAATGCGTAAGTCATGACAATATTATTTGGGTAATTGGGCTTTTTGCGAATCCAGTTGGTTATATCTGCAGGTTGCGTAGTTCCCGGTCTGTTTTTTAGACCTCTGAGGTTGGCTTTGACTTCATCAAGGTTTACTTTGAGCTCCACCTGATGTGGAAATGCGATGTCGGACTTCGTGTATTGTGTGAGGCCTGAATCACCGGCGCAATAAACCATCACTCGAAGATTTGAGTCCGTTTGTAGCCTATGGGCAACTTGCTGAGATAGCATGACCTTCAGTTCAACACTATCCCGTGTTTGTTCGCGAACTGGATGAAATTAGACATGGACGTTCAATAAGCTTCAAAACCACATAGCAACATACCTTTACATTCCACAACTGCAGTCAACGGCTCTAGGATTGTGTAAAATGGACTTTCTTTGAAAATCAAAGGACCTGGAGATTTGTGAGCAGCCGCATGAGGTTTCATGAGAGGAGCACTCGGACCGGAGGAGTAAAGGTGAGGTGACATGGAAACCCCGAGCGGTGCAGATCGAGCTTGTGCAGGAGATTGAGAGACAGGCGATGGCTGGTATTGTGGTCTGGTGGGTGATTGATATGGCACAGTGTTAGGGAAAGCGGTAGCGCGGATGCGCCTGGCCAGGGCATCGAAACTGACAGGGTCAGATTCCGCGAGAGATTGGATTCCTATTTCCTTGATCAGTGTACGGATTTTGGCAAGATTGGCGGAAAAGAAGTTTGGGAAGCATGCAGAAGATAGAATGAACAAGTCATAACAAGAGTGAGAATTGACGAACGTTGAATAATGCGGAACTGTAGGGTTGCCTTCAACCCAGATACCTGGAGGCCCTCATACCTCAACAAATCTTTCAGTTGCGGATTCGTGAGAGGTTTGATAAAGGCTGTCAGTGTTGCAACCTCTGACGACATGGTCGACATGACTGCTTCACAGATAAGAGAAGTGCGAAAGCAATCAAGGTGGACTTGGTTTAGGGTTCCTCGAAAGACAAGGGTCCGATTCAGCCAGGCCAATTGCAAGGGCTCTGCATCGATACATCTCTTGATTGGAACAAGATGTGAGGGAAAGGCCACAGACCCTAATCACAAAAGGGTGAGGTCAAGTCGACAAGGCCTCGAAGGTGAACCTGGGAAGTGCGGTCTCCGGATGACATAATACGAGCCTATCGGGGGAGAGAAAAAAAAAGTTGATTGTGTTATCAGTAGCGCATTTTATTTTCCCCATTAGACACATCAGTTCAATAACTTTTGACATTCTTGGCCTTTATCCTCAAGTTTTAATACCTTCTTTACCCTGTTTAATTTCCATTTTATCCTCAAACAATGGCGAAAAGTGTTCGAGCCAGTGTTTCTAAGCGCAACAGAGCCAATCTCCGCAAGAAGGTCTTTGGCCCACTGGTTGATGCTAGAACTGAAAGACTCGCTGCCAAACTACAGGAGCTTGCATCACAGCCACGGCCTGAAGTTCCTGTGAAATCAAAGATGGACCTAGCCGAGGACGAGGCTAGTATGTATTTTCTACCCTCCATTTTCAAGGACATCGACTCACCTCATATTTCGTATTAGCCGAAGCAGCCAAGGCGCAGACTGGTGACAGCGAAGGTTAGTCCACGACAATTCAACTTTTCGACCACACTTTCTTTAGCCTTGAACTACAGAACGCTTACCTCCCCCACACAGAGATGGATATCGACACAATCAAGAGCTCCAAGAAAAAACAGGCACGTGTGCAAAAGCGCAACCAGAAGCCTCGCAACTCGATTGTCTTCCAAAAGCGTCTATCTACAACCAAGAAGGGCCCCAAGAGGAAGTGAGGCGTACGCCAAGTGAGGGGCAATGAAAGGATTTATTGACGAGATGGTGTGGCGGAGAAGAAAAAAATTGGCGTTTGGGAGTCCACAATTATATCTGCGATTCACGTACATAGGTTTCATAGTCTGCGCCTGATATACCATACCTTCCATAAAAGGCTTGATATACTACATGGATTTTAGGCAAAAAAGATAACAACCCTCGTGTGGCCAGGAGAGTCGATATAGGATGCCAAATCACCGACAAGCAACCCTAGTTAAGACCAATTAGCTAGTTTGTGTCTTCGGCCTCTACCTTAATGAACAGAGGGTTTAAATCGTGAAGCGAATTCAGATGTAGGTGGATGTACGGAGTTTGTAATTTCAATATACAGCATCCAAGGTACTCGAGAAGGCGGTGTGGTGATGCGCGTTGACTCGATTCTGCCTCCCTTGGGAACCCCAGACAGTTCGACAACTGCAGTTGATTTGAGGTTCTTTACATTAAATTAGTCCTGCAAGAGAGCTACCGCCAAGTCAATTTGCAAAATGGCGGGCTTTCACAGCTGGGCGACAGTCATTGCCAATTTGCTGGTGCCCGTGGGCATGCTTACCTTCTCTTCAGGATTCTTCCCTTACAAACCGTTGATTCCTGGATTCGCGACTTTTGATGAAACATGCGAGGATTTCTCAGCACCTGCTGTCTTTGATAAAGTTATCTTCATGGTGGTCGATGCACTAAGGAGGTATGATTTGGATAACTCACCTCCGAGCTATACCGGTAACTGACAATGTGTTCACATAGCGACTTTGTATATTCGAACGACTCGGGTTTCTTGTTTACACAGAGGTTAGTGTCACTTTCGAAATCCAACATCTCATTGTTTGATGAAATCAGTGACTGATCACATATTAGCTTGATCCGATCCGGTGCTGCATTGCCATTCACTGCCTACGCGAGTGCTCCGACTGTCACAATGCCTCGATTAAAAGCCATCACAACTGGTTCGGTTCCATCTTTTCTGGATGTTATTCTCAACATCGCAGAATCAGATACCACATCAACACTGGCATACCAGGACACCTGGTTGGCGCAATTAAAGGCCACAGGAGGACGGCTTGTGATGTACGGGGACGACACCTGGCTCAAGCTCTTCCCGGGGATGTTTGACCGAGCTGATGGAACTACAAGCTTCTTCGTGTCGGTCAGTTGTATTTTAGATGTTTGTGTATCCGCAGTATTAGTATTGAAACTGAGATTCTTCTCGCAGGACTTCACAGAAGTAGATCATAATGTGACTCGACACGTTCCTAACGAGCTTGCCCAGGATGACTGGTCTGCTTTGATCATGCATTACCTAGGTCTGGATCACATAGGACATAAGGCTGGCCCGAAAAGGTAAAAGCTGCTCCCAATCTCCTTAGTAGCTGCTCCCTAACCTCTAGTTACTAGTCCCTTCATGATACCGAAACAGCATGAGATGGATTCTGTGGTGACTGAAATCTATACCGCAATGCAGCAACAAGACCATCTTCAATCTACACTTTTCGTGTTGTGCGGAGATCATGGCATGAATGAAGCTGGAAACCACGGCGGGTCCTCTGCTGGAGAAACGTCCCCCGCGTTGCTTTTCATGTCACCTAAGTTTGAAGGCTTGGGTAGCCGAAGAGAAAGCCCAGTGGAACCGTTAGGCGATATGCAGTACTACCAGACGGTCGAGCAAGCGGATATTGCTCCAACCTTGGCGGGGCTTCTTGGTATTCCAATTCCTTTAAACAGTCTTGGTGTATTCATCCCAGACTTTTTAGAGATGTGGGATCATGGTATGCTCTCCGCTTTCTAACCGCGGCCAAGCAAAACACAAAGAACTGACTCGGAAACAGGTTCTCATAAATTTCGAATCTTGTATCAAAATGCCGAGCAGCTACTGTACACGTTGACCACTACATTCCCTGGATCTACGTTTGGTCCCGATAGCACCGCAACCTGTGCTTCAGGAGTTCTGTCGGGTATTGAGGGGGCTCAATGTGCTTGGGCTCGAGTCCAGCAACTTGTCTCCGGCAGGGATGACGCAGATGATTTTTACTCTAGGGCCGGTCCTGCTTTGTTACAGTTCCTAAGGATTGCACAGGAGGTCATGAGCCATACTGCTAGTAACTATGACGTCTTCAGACTCACTCTGGGTTTGTTGATCACGGGGGTTGCAGGTCTGCTTGTACTTCCGGCTACATTCAAGGAATGCACACGGCACGGATCTTCCGGGATGTTTTTAATGCTCATGATCATCTCCTGTGGGATGATGATGTTTGCGAGTAGCTATGTGGAAGAAGAGCAACAGTTCTGGTATTGGATCTGCTCGGGATGGATGGTCTACCTGCACATCAAATCGCAATCTCGGTCATCAAACCCGATCTTACGCAAACGTTTTGGATCATTGGGATATTGGTTTGAGAAATGTATCATTCTTGGGCTCGTCATCACCCAGCGGCTCTTGCGACGATGGAACCAAACGGGACAGAAATTCGCGGCCGAACCTGATATTGCTCGCACCTTCTTTGCACGCCATCCTGAAATCTTCTGGGGTCTTCTTATCCTCACCTACGTGGATGCTGGTAGTCATCTTCTCAAGAGTACACCAATCACTGGAATATTGAAGCCCGGTGTCTTGGCCCCAGCCGTGTTGGCTTTCACGTTCAAAATGCACTTTGTGACTTCGGAATCTCCAGAACTCGTCGATGGGACGTTCATCTTGCAAATCATGAAGGTGTGGCCCTATAGTCTGTCGTTGGTTTTACATGCCAGGCTTGTGTTCTACGGACTTGCTGTCGTTGTCCTGCTAGCGTTCTTTTTTGGAAAACGGCCAAGAGTCTCCCGAGGTAAGTCCACACATGTCCCCTCTGAGCCTGGAGTCACAACTGACCATGAATATTTAGCACATGATGTAATCCATGAAGCTCTTCATATCTTCCTAATGACGCAGTCCCGTGCCGCTAACGTCCCCTTGTTCCTAATTTTCCGAATCCAGGCCGGCATTCTCTCTTCCATGAACCTCACGGGGATCGAAGTGACCATCACAACCTTGATCTTCCAGTACATGACGTTTTTCGCGTTTGGTGGCTCCAATGCAATCTCCTCTGTGGATCTTGCCAGTGGATATAACGGCATTGACCGCTATAGCGTGGTGCTAGTGGGGATTCTCACCTTCGCGAGCAACTGGGCAGGACCCATTTGGTGGGCTTCACAGAGCCATCGTCTCCGGCCAAGGAATCCTACGGAACAAAACCCCACGGCACTGTTAACCTTCCAAATCGCTATGTCTTTAGTGTCTGTCATGGCCGCCTGTACAGCTCTCCGGACGCATCTTTTTATCTGGACCGTTTTCTCCCCCAAATATCTCTACAGCATGGCGTGGGCCACTGCCAATCATGTTGCTGTCAATTTACTGGGCGAGTTGATTTTCTCTCGATCTCGACATCGTCATTCATAAAACCATTTTCAGCTTAAAAATACATGCCTGGACATGCCTTGGATTCCATAAAAAAAGAGACAAGTAGATAACGTACACACAAGGGAAGGGGTATGAAATTCAAAATAAACCGCTGAACAAATCATCGATGGCGTTCTTCTTCTTTTTCCTTTTCGATGAACTCTTTGAAACACCGTCCTCCGTGGGCTTTTCCATGGGCTTCTCTTTGGAGACCTTGGAATAAGACTGGGAAGCCTTGGCCGGAGTGAGTAGCGCATTGCCAATCCGATGTATACTCTCCCCAAGATCCTCCTTTACCACAGGAATAATCTTGGACTTGCTTGTCACAGGCTGCATCTTCAGCTGATGACTGATCCCGGTGACTTTGGACAGTCGCGCCAACGCGGCTAGCAGCACGATTCCAAGGGCAGAGAATTGGTTATCGGCTACGACAGTTGAAAAAGCACTAAGAGAACAGTGAGCCTAGTTGTTCAGGGTAAGACCTTTTCATTTCATACATGTAGCATTTTGGGATTATTGTGACGAAGCGGGATTTTACCCCCGATCGGGTGAGATCCAAGGTGGCGCGTTTCAAAATGGATAGCCATTTCCACCACTTGGTTCGACGATGCTGATTCTTATTGCGATGAAAGATCAGATGAAGCATCGAGTGGACTGCCATGATTTCCTCCATATTGTGAGATGTTGGGAAAAGATGAAAAGTGGGGTCTTCCGGCGGCTACTTTTTAGCTGCAACACATGTTGTACATCACTTGATTGCAAAAACGTTCATTTCATTGGAATCAATGTTATTTTTGGGGGGTTTCCTTAATTTTCTAAAAACAGAAATAGCAGAAGCAGCAGAAAAAAAGCAGAAAAAAAGCAGAAGCGACTGATAGCACAATTCCCAAGTGAAATGATTGAATCGATTTCTTCGGAATGTGCGATACAAAAGCAAATCTCATAGCAGAGCAGTAAGGATTGTGCCAGCTACCCTGAGGAACTCTACCATTTGTAGTGGTAGTCGTTGCCTGGATGTCTGTGAACGAGTCCTTTTGTTGTGATAGAGAACAAGGTCGAGGATACTGCAGAAGGCAAAGGCATTAAAAGAACCTGATCGACCTTGGAAACCCAGAAACCAAGTCGGAATGTGAAGAATGTTCCAGCATCCAGAGATCTTGGGGTTTTTGATCATAAAGAAAGAAGAAAAAAGAAAAGCTGTCCATTTCAAGAAAAACCTGGATTCCAGAGCGTGACCATACCGCAAGAGCCTTATCTTAGTGCGGCGTTAGTTCCGTACGTATCGAGAATCTTGCTGTTGAAATGCATTGACTTGTTGACCATGGATTTTTGGATTTTGCTCTTTTTTTGATTCCACCAGCTTAGGGGAACACCGATCTTTGGGCGGTAGGGGTGGTTGAATATCTCGACAACGATGCGTGATGGTACTCAATTCCCTCTCTAGCGCTCAACGAGAAGAATCGTAAGTGCGTTTGTGCTCAGCAAGATAAAGATGGAATTTTTGATAGTTGCTGTTTTGTTTTGTTTTTTTTTTGAAAGAGAAGACCGGTGCACATATGTGGAAAAACAATCGTTTGATGACATTGAGAGAAGACCATGAAGCTTAATTCTTCTGCGACATGAATTGACGGTCCTCTGTCTGCATCGAAGAAAATTCGCCAGGGGCATGCTGGACCGATCGTCCGCCAGAATGCCGGGGTGTGTGGATTGATGGTCGACCTCGAGGAGTCTGACTGAAGGACTGAGACTGAGGCCGCGTACGGTTGGCACGAGGCGTAGTGGGAGCTCTATTTCGAGGTGCAAAGAGGCCTGAAAAGGGGTCAGAGTATGTCCACAAGGCAGAGAGCACGATGTCTTACCTTGCTGAGTGGTGCTAGCAACCGAACGACGGAGCTTACTGGCATCATTAGGACCGGGGAAAGCCGCCTCGGTACCCGCGCGGGGACCGTCGATATGGAAAAGCTACATTCAGTCAATATCGGTACCTGAATGAGGACAAGAAAGGATTCAACTCACTCGAGGTCGCTCTTCGTGAGGACGGGTCATAACGTTACTGTTGCGGAACTTGTTTACGAGAGCCTCCTTTCCTTGAAGTGCTATTGAAAGTGATTAGACAACATTCCCATTAACCATGGATGGGACACAAACTGGCGTAGGAAACCTCCGCCCTCTTCTCGGAGATGCAGTCGGGCCTGTGATAGTCTCGAGTCAGCGAACGTGCACTTTTCTGGGGGAGATGAGGAAGAACATACCAAGTCTTGCCCTGCCGAGCGTGCACAAGCTAGGGAAACTGGTAAGCACATGTCACACGTTGACCCATGATATAACTCACATTCACAATGTCAATTGCCTGTAGGGTTTGTTAGTCATGCATGGGACGAAAGGGATGGAGTTAAAGCTGGCAAACACTCACATCACCAAAGTTCATGAACGCATAACCGACGCTAGAAGGACAAAGAGTAAGTAAATTCAAAATCGAAAAAATGAACAACAAGAACTTACTTGCAACGGTGAGTAAAATCTGGAGATCGAATTAGCCCGAACAAGCGAATGAATTAAGAAGCACTTACCCATGCGCAGGTAAAGGAAGTCATACTTCCCATAGCTGGACTCATCGAGAATGGATTTCAACTGGTTCTAGTGAATGATCAGATGGAATCAGCATTGGAGGTTCTCATTAAATGACGGAGGAATTCATACCGATGTTATCTTGTTGGGAATGTTGCGGATCATGACCTGTAACGTGACAATATGTGAGATATCAGTGTTGCAGCAGAAAGGAGAGAACTTACAGTGCTGCGAACATCTAATCCTTGCCTGATTCGGTCGAGATTAATAGCATGTTCTGCACTTGTCTGACCCTCCTCAGAAGCCGGAGAAATATCGACTTTCTCCTCGACCTCGCTCTCTTTGGACACAAGGTGATAAGGCGTCAGAGGGCTCTGAGGGGAGCCAAAGCTGGTGGTTCGAAGATGAGGCAGAATATGCATTTCTTCTTGCGCATCAATAGAGACATTAAAGCGAAGACTCTGCACAAAACCATTGTTAGCATTCCGTTTTCAAACCCCCCAAAAAGCAAAAAAAGGGGAGAGGGAGAGAGAAGAAAAAAAAAAGTTACTTCGAGCCTAAACCCACCGAGACAAGAAAAAGCATAAGTCGCATGACGTTTGTTGAAATATTCAACTTGGTATCGACTCATGTTTGTTCCATTCTCGATAAGTTTGCAAGAACGCAGGGTGCCAAGGGAAGCGGCAACATGTTGAACAACATCGTCCATAGGTTCCATGAGCCACTGGCTTGGGATGGCGTACACAGAAAGCAAGAATGCGCCATCTTGAGGAACAGAGCTAGACAAAGCGGCTCCCTTGACTCTGTTGGTTCCCTTGAAATTGGCAATCTCTTCGCCACTGGCCGGGAAGACGCGCCATGTAGGACGAGTTAGGCGAATTTTTTTCATGGCGTGGATGGCCTCTCGAAGGTCGCCAAACGAAAACGAAAACATGCCCTCAGCCTCAAATTTCTTGAGACAAACATCCTCAAGGGAAGGATATTCATCAATCTTAATAAAGTCAGCTTTGGTCTATCACATGATCAGGTTGGTATTGCGACTTACAGGGAACATCATAACAATAGAGCGGTGCGTGGCATCGAGAGAGACATTGTGCACGATAAGGCTTCGATGCTTTTCAGTAACCTCATGAGTTCCGCCGGGGAGGGATCGTGAAGATAATTTGGTTGTACCAGTGATGCGACAAGCTTGGTTATCGGGGGAGGCATGGGCCAGTGCATTGTTGGAGGCAGTGATATTTCCAACTGCAAGATCACGAGTGGTTGCGAACAAACTAGATATGAATTCCGGGGTCGGCCTATATTCATAACTGAAATCTTCACGCGAGGGTGAGTACCGAGCGTTGGCAATAGCTGTCTGAACAGGAGAGAGCGGGTGCTGAGATGCTCCCAGATGTGCCTGAGTATGAGTCGAAAAATGAGGTGAGTATTGCATCCGAGGAAGCGACTGAGATGCCTGGGCATGGGAAGGCGAGTATCGCATTCCACCAGGACCAGCGCTGGTAGGAGACACCTGGGCAGAAACCAATGGAAACTGGGATTGGCCGATTGAATAGTGAGCTGCGTTAATTGTGCGAGTCAGCTGAGGCGAAACAGACGAGCACTGGTACTGAGTGTTCGCCTGGTCGAAAGCTGAAGGCACTGGATAGGCGTAGCAAGAACCGGAGGTTGTAGTAGTAGTTTGAGACGGGGGGGCACGCGCAGACCCTGTCTCATTAGACCAACCGGCAAATGGATCACTGTGGCGCACTAAAGTATTAAGGCTTTGATCTTGATTGTAGTCAACGACATATAACTTACCCAGTCGGACGAACTGTCTCCATTCCAGGGAGCGGGACAGGGTTTGCTCGGTTGGAAAACCCCTCGTACCCAATTGGGTTGAATGCAGCAAGCTGCTCCGATGGCGATCCTCGAGTTGGAGAAAACCTTTCCATGTTCAATTCTGAAGTAATGAGAATGTGAGCCGAGAACAGAGAAACGTATTAAAAGATAAGTCCACATACAGGTTGGCAAGTTGAATGACCTATTTGGCGAGGGGCACTATGTCACTTGGTGCTGCTATTGTATCAATAGGGCAGGAAAGATAACGACGAGGGAGAAGAAAAAAAGAGATCGTTTGTGAAAGGATGAATCAGTCCTTTTATATGTCAAAGGCCGACTCATACTCCCAGAGGCATTTCAGCTCGGCCAATAGGACGATGCGATCTCGCAAACGACAAAACGACTCATCATTCCAATCCCAACGAACCCCAACGAACCCCAACGAGGCAAAGAACACTCGACAAGGTCAGCGCGCGTCTCAGCATTCATCTAGTCATCTGGGCAGGTCGCAGGTACTAGATACTAGGTAGTAAGATTCGCTAGCTGCCTTAAGTCTCGTAGGGTCTCTTATATGCTTTCATTTTAAAACTTGCAAAGTCACTTGCTGTGATCCTATTTTAGCGATATGATCATATCAAAGGGTCATGATAGGGGGCTTGTTCACGATTATAGACCAATCATAGAGTAGACCACTGCCTCTAAATCCTTCTCAGTGAGGAGTTTCAATGTCGCCAGTTAGCATGGTGGGTGATCACTGCTTTCTTATTGTATAAATGAGTGTCCACGGTTGTCAGACGTCATGTTCTCACGGCCTCTCAACTCCCAAAAAGATTGACGAAGCAGTGATTGAAAGTGACAAAGAAGAAACAAATTATTTCAGACATGGCGTAAAAAAGAAAAGGGAAACAGTCTTAAATCAACAATGGAAGTAGAACGTCTTGCGCGGGTGCTATGTGTGCATTCAATGTTTGATGCATTTGATATTGGCCAAGGTTTACGCTAGTGATGACGCTAGCACAAAATGGGGCTAGCCTGTCAAAAGCGGTCAATGACACTGGTGGCAGATCGAACATCTGACCGCCTGTGGACGCCACCGAGTTCCTATAAGCTTGAGATCATTACCCTGAGCCACGTTGCAAGCCTAACAAGTCGGAAGTTTTGAGACTATTGGGCTTCCCTCTGGCTATGAAGCTGAGTCAATTATGCGACCCATGGCTCCAATGCTCAATGAGCCACATGTCCTGAACCAAGTGAGCCAGCCTATACACATAGGAGAGTGTACTT